GACGGGTCAAAGTCAGAAACAGGAGTGGGCAGTTCAATTGTAGTGAAAAATAACGACAAAAACATCTATCAAGCCAGATTCAAACTAGAGAACCATTGCACAGCAAATCAAGCGGAATCATTTGCAATATTTAGGGCTCTTAAATGGATTAATGAAAACAGACAGAAATATAACATCACCAGGGTCACGATTCTCAGTGACAGTAGAGTGGCACTACTTCAGATTAAAAAGTTGAACATCAAACTGGTTGTGGTAAGGGAAAGCATCAACATTCTTAAACAACTTAAACGGAAAATAACTATTAATCTAAATTGGATAAAAGGACATGCAAACATACAAGGAAACGAAAGGGCGGACCTTCTGGCCCGCACTGCCACCAAAGGAACAAACATCTGCTATTATAACTACACTCCTGTCACCTGGTTAAAAAAGAAAATTAGGGAACACATCTGGTATAGATGGCAGAAAAGGTGGGATGAGGGTACCACAGGAAGAATAACACATGACTACATTCCAGATGTACAACACCGAAATGAAAACAGATTTTTCTTGCCTAACTTCAACACTACACAACTGTTGACAGGACATGGCAACTTCAGAAATTACCTAAAAAGGTTTCTGAAGAAGACAGACGGTATATGTCAATGTCTCTTACAGGAAGCAGACACACCAGAACACATCATTTATCTTTGTCCAAACTTCAGGAATCAAAGGAAAACATTAATAGACAGGGTTAACGAAGAAAACGAACTTTGGCCATGCCAACTTAAAAGCTTTATTAATAATAAGAAATTATATAAAGCATTCAACGACTTTGCTAAAAGCATCAACATACTTAACTGATCTTCTCCTTCTAGGACACTTTAAGTGCATGGACAGAAGTATCACATCATACTCACAAAGGTGATAACGGTCTCTATGTTAATATAGGACTTTCCGATCCACAAGCTGCCAAACAGGGCATTTGTTTTGTGGACTATGAATGGGTAGTTCATTTGTACAGGTATCATGCAACCCACAAGTTGTGGGTATGCTTCTTTGTGCACGGCACCATTGTCTTCAATGTTTATACGTTTATTTGTAACTATCATTGTTGTTATCATTGTATATATTTGCTATTTTGTACATTGTCAATTTATTTTTAATAAATGCGGTGCGGACGCCATGGGAACCCATGGAACACAACTTTCCTTTAACCTTTCCTATCCATCTTTTCACTTCACCTTCACCTAAACCCTTCTCAAACTTTACACCTTCTTTCCACTTCCTACTTCTGGGCTATACCAAAGAGTGAGGCCCACTAAACTCCAGGATGTATCGGTTAATCCAACAGGACAATATTCATTTCTGGTTGGTCCTGTCAGCAAATAATTATGCAAGCATACGCGTACTGTCGCTTTTATAACATTGTCAATGTTCTCCTCACTTAATTTAATGGTATAAATTCTCCATCTACTACTTAAAATTCCAAACGAATTTTCAATCACTCGCCTGGCTCTAGAAAGACGGTAATTAAAAATTTTTTGTTTCCACATTAAATTTTTATTTTTTCGTGGGTAAGGCCTCATAAGGTACGTTGTTAATGGAAAAGCTTCATCACCCACAAAAAAGTAAGGAAGTTCAAAACATCATTTGATAATCTCATAGGCTCTGGTAATTAAAATTTGTTCTGGCATAAACCTTGGCCTAATCTTGACCTAAAAAAATTCCTCCATCACTCTCACTACCATAGCTTCCGATGTCCACAAAGATAAACCGATAGTGTGCATCACAGGCTGCTAATAAAACTTTACTAAAGCTATTTTTATAATTAAAGTTTAAGCTTCCTGTGTTAAACGGACATTCTATAATAACATGTTTCCCGTCAATTGCACCTAAGCAATGGAGAAATTGCCATTTCTGTTCAAAACCAGAAGCAATATTTATCCATTCTTCTGGAGTTGTGGGAAAATGTACAAAATCTTTAGATAATTCTTCCCAAATACACATGCAAGTTTCTTTTACAATTTTCCCCACAGTTGATCTTCCCATTCTAAAGGAATAGGAAAGGCTTCGAAACGTTTCTCCTGATGCCAAATATCTGTAATAAAATAAGTTTTAAAATATTATTAACTACTCTATCATGTAAACAAACAGTATATAAAAATGATAGATAAAAATAAGCAATTACAATAAACACAAATATGCAAAATGCATTTTTATATTAGTCAAGTATAAATAAAAAATATAGAAAATGTTTCTTTTATTTCAAAGATGTTTGAAATAGAAACTTATATATAGCCTACTGTGTGTATATATTATAATATTGCAATTAGAATTTAGGTTTGTTATATATAAATTTTATAGTGTCTCAACTAACACCACAAAGATAATATTAATTTACTAACTTGTAAGTAAATATTTTTATATTCGACATTAACTGCCATTTTGTTTGCTACATTTACCTCAATGTTACAGCAAGTCTATCACTCGCAGGTATTGCGTCTCTCCATCTGGTATTTTGCCTAGTTATATTCGGTCCAAGTTTATTTAATAGTTCGTCAAATTTTTTGGGAGACATTCTGAAAAAACTATAACAAAATAATAAATTTAACACAAGCAATCATATATAATTTAAGTCAAAAGTCAAAACAAACTAATCTTACTCGAAGTAATATTCTTTGTCGAAAGATCTTAGACGAGGAATAAGTGTATTTTGAATACCAGTTCTCTCTCGATCTAAGAAAATGTCTCTGATCCAAAATCTCCGGTCAAATCTTCTTCGTCGACGTCTTCTAGAGACATAAAGTGAAGTATACAAAACGAAATTTGTAAACATGAGGAGAGCAGCAGAATTAGAATTACCCGCCATCTTGAATATTTTGCGCATGCACCGAGATGTAGAGAGATTTGCGTTTGCCGCTTGTTTGGTAGTGCTGCCGCGCGACGAAGACGCTTTTGCGACACCGCTTTTTCTTGCGCGCGCCGCATGTGTGCATCCGGCTTAATAAGGTCATATATATGTTTTAAAAATATACATTTTTATTTTTTTATGTAATAGTTAATGAATAAGGTGTAGTCAAAGAAATATACTTTATATACTTTTTCTTAGTTGATTGCTTATTATTTATGTTAAAAAATTTAAAATGTTACCATTAAAAAACAACAGATTACAATAAACGATTTCTAAATTTCATTATTGTAATTGATATAAATAAACATTATTGTTGTTCTAAATTGAGAAAAATTACACATTACTTTCTTTATTATTTTAAGTTACTCACAATTGTTATTTTAATAAATGTAAATTATTAGAGTTCAAATAATTGGATAAAGAAATGTGCTTTTAAAATATTCTACATTATAATGAAAACAATTAGCATCTGGATATATTTATAAATAATGATCCGAACATATATGTATTTGTATGAGTGAGTGTAATAACTTAATTTTGAATTTTTTATTTAAGGAAATAAGACAAATAATTATTTATTTACCTTCACAATAATAACATTATTCAGGCGAGGATTCATTTTGAATATTAGTTAATATAGAAGAAACAGAGTAGAAGCACCTGTATATAGAAAAACAAATCAACTAGTAATACCAAACTATTTAGTATGCTGTTATTGGTCGAGGGCTTCATCTTCTATCATTGGTTGTCTGGAGACGCCTGGAGTAATAGCCGCAATTATTGGAGCGATCTCGTGCCAAGTAAATTAAAATAACAAATAGCTTGCATTATTACGATGGACATTAATTACATAATAAACAATTATGTCATGTATATGTAGTTAGTTGTCATGATTAATACATCCGGTATAAAATTAACAGAGGTTACAAGTACTATTAAATATTTAGATATTAACAATTTATGCCCTATTGATGAGAAATAGCAGTATAGAGAAATATTTCTAAAAACAGAATTAAAAAAAAATTAACACAAATCTAGTAAAGATTGATTTATATCGAAGAGGATCTACTTTTTATAATTTTGTTCTTTCCATACTTTCTTTAACATAATATCTATTTTTGGCAATTTTGTATAACTCATTCATTGAAGCTACTCCCGTGTTCTTTACCAAATTATAAAATGTACCATTTACGTTCTTCAGTAATGCATAGGGCGAGTCGAATTCTTGTAGTTTCCCTGTGTCTAGAACCTAAAAATATGAAAAGGGGGTATTGAAAACTCATATTTATTTTATATTAGAAATAAAAGATTCTTACCAAAACTCTATCAGAATCGATGACTGTATTTAATCTATGGGCAATGGTCAGCACTGTACATGATTTGAATTTCTCTCGAATTATTTTTTGTATACGGGAATCGGTACTAAATATAAAACAACAGAAAACTGTTATAAATATCGATTTTAAGTATTAGCATTAGTATGAATCGCAAACACTAAGAATATAAATACAAAATATAACTTTAAAATTTAATGTAAATTAAGAATTTTTGATGAAAACGAAAACCGTGTGTAATAAACATAATATACAGTTGTTACGAAAGAAGATTTCGCGGTATTAAATTTTCCACATTACGTAAAATAAATAGCGCTCCATTTGAATTAATGAAATGCATCTCGTGAAAGGTTTGCCAAAAAAACCATCAATCAGAAGCAGATTTCTTCCTGTTTGGGTTTTACAATGGATGGAACACGTGCATACAGGTAAATCTGTGTGCATCCGTATAATGTTTTTTACTGTATGTAACAAGGCAACTAACAGTGACAAAACACTACTTGTTCTTGAGGAATATTTACACGAGCACTTTCTTTACAGTTGAAGTCAGGCTTCTGCTAGAGATTTCTGTTTGATATGGATATAAAACTCTGTTACTAGATCTGTTCTGCCACCACATTTTACAGTCTTTAATTTCAGATGTTAGACAAGTGAAGAAAATCCGAAGAAATTCACCAGGCCTGCTCGTTACTGATACGCACACCTGCAATTAGATGTATGGTTTAAAACTATTCAGCTACTTGTAAAAAAATCTAAATTGTGGTGGTAGCACTGATTCAGCAACAATATCTTATCCTCATATCAAACAGAGTGATCAAATACGAATATAATCATTCTCATTTACTCGAGACTTATAGTTCAGACTTATTTGCAGCTGTAACTGGAGTTTTCGTGTATTGATTCAACAAAAATAAATAGTCTTTCGTCACTGTTAGTCATCGTGTTACATATATCAGAAAACATAACATCGTATGGATACGTACAGACTTAGAGCCACGTGTTTTATATATTGTTTACTCAAGATAGAAAGAAATGTATTATTACTGATTAAGACGAAATAAAGAATGTTTTTTAAGAATCTGGGATTTAGGAGAAATATTTGTTAAAATATTATTTTAAAATTTTAACTTGCTAGAAAAATTATCAGTGTTTAACTACTTCTGACACAGGGAAAAGGACATTTAGTTTCTCCCAAAATGATAATGTCAGAGTGGTGACCCGTCCGAACTATCCTCAGAATCGTTCGATTTCTTTCTCTTGACAGAAGCATGGCGTGATATCACAATGTTCCTATTTGATGTGAAATTTGTATATAAGAAAAAGCTAACATTTAGTCTTGTTTTAATTACGTTTTACTCATGCTCCAGTCATTGTTCCGTTTTTGGTATTTTCACCCAGTATGCAATAGATTAGTCATCATCCTTTCAAGACTCCCAGGATCTAATCAATTCTCTGTGTTTTGTTATGTATTGACGTCAGGTAATATAACCATTTTATTTGCAAACTCTCCATCGATAGATGTAGAGGTTCGGATACACTATCCTTACCTTATAACGTGGAAATAACCTAGGTTGATACAGAAACTATCGCACATGTACTGCACATGAGCTTCAAAATAAATAAATAAATTATTAATTAATAAGTAAATAAAAATAAAATTTATCAAACGATGAGATCAGCCTATTAATTGTATCTTGTACAATATTTTATAACCCAAAAAAATACTGTAGGTCTACGGTAAAATAAATTTCGTTTACCCATATTTATACTTTGTCGCTAATTGCTGTTGTGATAACTTTAACACGATCTTCTAACGACAGACTGCGCACTTCTTTTGTTTTTCGGACAATTGCTAACAAACTGAAATGAATTTCCTTNATTAATTGTATCTTGTACAATATTTTATAACCCAAGAAAAATACTGTAGGTCTACGGTAAAATAAATTTCGTTTACCCATATTTATACTTTGTCGCTAATTGCTGTTGTGATAACTTTAACACGATCTTCTAACGACAGACTGCGCACTTCTTTTGTTTTTCGGACAATTGCTAACAAACTGAAATGAATTTCCTTTGTTGCTAGGGTAATTCATTAACACCTGCACCTAATTTCAAGGGTGGAAAAAGTTCTTAAAGTAGATTCTAACGAGAGTTTAGACTATTAGGAGGAAACCGTTATTGAACAATAGTTTAGATCAGATATATTCGCGGAAGTGGTCTCTTATTACAGTTGTTGTATGTTGTTTCTAACCAAAAATCGATGCTCGCGGTCGCGTTACACAGGTAGTCATTTAATACTGGTAACTAATACAAAGACTCTATGGATAAACTATTTGGCGCCAGATATTTTTGCCCGTTTTGGCAGGTGCCCGTCGAATGCACGTGATCGCCTACACAGTTTTCACTATAGTTACTTTTCTAAACCGACTTAAGCTAATGCCTAACTCTATCGTCGGCTCACGATACAGTAGAAACATTCGAATTTTTCTAAGAGAGTACTATACTCTCCAAGAAATCAGGCAAGTTAGAATACATCTTCAACCACTGAGAAGGTAAGTTGATTTTTAACACGTCTTAGTCAGGTAGTTTAGACAAAGTTGTGTCAGGTCCCTGAGAGAAAGAGATCTTACCGATCTTCCACTTGATCTTTATGCCATCCTGAGAGTGAGAGGAATTAGACTGGTCCAGAGTCCCTGTTCTCACAGTTCTCACAACCTACGTTTATGCTTAACATTGTTTTAGTCTTCAGCTTTCCAAAAGGTTTAGCTTATAATAGCAAAAAACAATTTTGAATTTAGTTTCTAATATCAGCTTTATATTCGAAAATATTAAATTACGTTTGCGATATTGTACTTTGCCCATCTTCTGATAACACGTAGAAAACCAAATCCAGATTAAATCCAGATTCGGCCCGAATATTTATTTGACCTGGAAACGAAGAAAACTGAAGCTTTATTATCCCAGACAAATGTATTATAAAATAGATCTTCATACTTACTGAAAGAAAGGTGAGAATTGGCTTATGCTAAGCTAAAAAACAATATCTCAAAACAGCAGATAGAAATACTATCTAAACAAACTAAAACAATATTAGCCATTTCAAGCAATACTTTTAACACGTTAGCAAGAATGACCGACAAGAGAGGTAATGTAATACGAAAGCTAAATAAAGGTGCAATCATTCCAGCATAAGGGAGAAACAATGAACGGCGATTGCAAATTTAAATCCTCAGTAAGCAAATGGAATGTCAATCACGGTCTCGAGCAAGCAGAAAGTGGAGAATAAATTTTCACACCACCGGAAACACAGTAAGAAACTGGAAAGACGGATCAAAGAACTGCTATTACAACAGAAAATATATTCATGCCCTAAGTTTGTTTCATTGGCAGGGAAATTATTAAACAAGATATATACAAAATAAAAACAACTACAATGCCATTTCACCCATTTCTAATGGAGAAAGGAGTTTTTTTTTATTAAATCACAAAAAATAAGCGGTTTATTCACATTCACAGTGTAGGGTGTAACTTTTGTGAGACAGAATTAACAAAGCTTTACTATTCTCACTTTAATTAACAACACCTTTCTCAGAAATTTCAAACAAGGGAATATTCAGTGTAAATTGAGATAAATTATTGCAAGTTGCAATTTTGTATTTTTGGGATCAAATTACATTGAAATAAGTATTATAAACTCAAATTTATAAGCATGAATACTTTACATCGCTAGAAAACAACAAATTGAAGAAATTGATAATATAATCAGTGTTTGAACCGCTGTACAATGTTTCGAAATTTAAAATCAATTTCCTGGGTCTGCGAGACTCAACGTGACTAAAGTAAAATGAAAAATATGCACATGTAACAGAGGTTTTCAGAACACCCACCATTCAAAAAAAAACCTGGATTTGAATTACGCGCCTTCAACATTGTATCTTCGTCCAACAGAACAGAGTCAATTAACTACTCAAGTCAACGTTTATTTTGACATTGGATCACTATCAATCATATAAAAATCCTACCTATCACATATTTATGCAAGCCAACATTACTCCAATCTTTAAGTACGAAATGAAAAATATTGCATTATCATACAGTCGATAAATATGAATGTGTAAGATGAATGTGTAAGTTACGATTTATTTATAAACTCTTAATTTTGAGAGTATTGTGAAAAATGTTATAAAAATTCTCTACACAAAATAGACCACAAAATCAAATAATTAATACTTAAATTTAGATATTTTTAATTTTGTTTGTTCTAACCTTTTATCGATATTGGACGTTGCTTCGTCCATGACAAGAATTTTATTCTTACGAAGAATCGTTCTGGCGAGACAAATTAACTGTCTTTCTCCCACGCTGAAATTTCGCCCTCCTTCTGATAAATGTGTATCCAATCCTCCGGGCAATTTATTGATAACTTCTTTTAATTGTACCTTTAATTAATGTAAATAGGAATTATGAACAATTATTAAAAGTATTAAAGAGTAAAATCATGTAGTAAATTGTATTATTTTTAATTATTTATAACCTGTTCTATGGCTTGCCACAGCATTTCTTCTGAATATTCATTGAATGGATCGATATTTCTTCGAAGAGGACCGGTAAATAACATCGGATCCTGAAAAATTCGCCAACGCTGTGTTAATTGCTTGTATTTTACAATTCGTGTCAATACGACATTTTTTGCTTTGCAATTATGACAAAGGTAAATATTGTAGTTTGTTATTTCATTAATTATTGCAGAAGACATACTCTTTAAACTAGATATTCCAATATATCATTAAGCAGGATTTATTTTGCTCTGGACATTCTTGAAAACTTCTCCCTTTTTTCCTGAGTAGGGTATAGAAGGAGAGTGTTGTCAGAAACCTGTGGCCTGAGAACATTTAAGAGAATCTGCAGTGATTGCAAGTTAAAAGATTCGCTTAACGTTTCCAAATCGCTCATTTCTCTGTATCGTTAATCGTATATCTGTAACGCATTAGCAAAAGTTTGGTTATTTGTTTCCACTTATTTTATCAAATCGTTTTTTATAAGATTGAATTTCATGTATTCAAAGTCATTGTTAACTTTAGTTTAATTAATTAATTAACCCTTGCCGTTTGGACCAGAATAAACTCGGGCAGGTTACATAGAGTTACAGAAAACTCGATCCTTTCGGCCCATAAAACTTTTTTTGGATTTTTGCAATGCTTTTTAAGTCTCCAAATTTTTTCAAAAATGTTTTCCCGCGCGAAAAATTTTTATCGCGATTTTAATTTACCTTTAATGATGCACGATTAACGCTTAATTGTTTTTTAATGCGATTTTTTAATAAAATTTAATTAATTGTTCTAAAGTTGTAGTGCACGGATTTTACTTCGGTAAAGTTATTTAAAGTTAGTTTCTAATGTCAAAAACGACCTTCAATAGTTTTTTTAATTTTTTTAAGTAATTAATATATTTTATTATATATACGTTTAATTAAATCGGGGGTCGGAAATCGCAATAAAAATTTTAATTTTTTAAAAATATTTAAAAATATACTGCCAGCTAGTATTCACCCTACTTTAAACTTTTGTCCTCCCAAGACGTCTATGAGAATGTCCCGGAGAATCCAACACCAGATGTTCTCAAGGTCATCCAGCTGTGTAAACAATGAATCATCAGTGTCAGATTTTGCAGAAAGGGGAGACAACAGAAAAAAACGTTTGAAGCTTTTTCTTCAAAACTAACGCATTTCTTTCGTTAATTTTCAGTTTTAAGTATTTTTTCATGTAGGGGAGATCGGGGCAACTTCGGCATGCGGGGCAAGTTTGTCAAGCGCTTTTTTTAAAAAACAAATTAAAAAAAAACTTTGATTATAGGTTAGGCAGTTGAGTTTCATTGGTGGCTTGTTGAGTGTAGTGTTTTTATTGTTCTCCAACAAGCGTAGTTGAATTATCAAGCAAATTTTCATTTTCGTTGAATTCCATATAATATTTTTTTTCCATTTATATTGAATTGGCAGGTTTTGTTATAATTCCATGATAACGAAAGTTACTTTTCCTGTTAGAAGGATGTAACTTCAACTTATTCACGTGGCCAGATCGTGGCTTGGCATTCTGTTCTCAGGGTTGTACTTAATGTTTCGAAATCATGACTAGCGGGGTAAGATCGGCAACATAAAGCCACATTAGAAGCAAAGGATAAAAATCAAACAGATGATAAATGAAAACATGTTTGCATTTGTTATTCATGTATATATGTCTTTGAACTTGCATTTCGTTGTAATAATATTAAATGGGTGTTGGATTTGTATTTCTTTGTTTTAATAGTGAATTCCAACTTATACATTGTTAATAACATAATTTTATATACGTGCCTATCTTGCCCCATTACTGTTGCCCCTATACCAGGGGCAACTTTAATAAAAATAATTAAAATAATTACAACTTTACAAAAAGAGAGAAGTTGCCGATCTTGCCCCTATACCCGGGGCAACTTCGTCAATTTCTCTCTTCTTGTAAAGTTGTAATTATTTTAATTATTTTTATTTCCAAACTGATTTTAACCAGTTCTATAGCAAGGTAACATTCCAATAGACAATATGCAAAAGGTTATTTTCAGTTTACAGCAGTATTTATTACACAAAATTTAAGTAAAGCTTAACATGCCGATCTTGCCCCGATCTCCCCTATAACTAAAAATTCCTAAAAATATTCGGACAACAAGTGGTTAATATTCAGTTTGTTTTTTAACTAGTAATTCAGTAATTTTCATTAATTTGGCAATTTTTGGACCAGCGTATTTTCGACAGATTATCACAAGTTTTTGTATTTTTGCAACCGTCATCATTGAAGAATTGTTGTACATATTGTGATAGCGTAAGCTGCTGGAGACTTTCGAATTGTTCAATTTTATCGTTGTAAATATTATATTTTTACATTAGAGATTTGACAATCGACTTTCTAACCTGTATCAATGCTACACACTCATTTTGCCTTCATTTCTGATACAGATGTTTAGCACACCCCTATGAGACCGAGAATTTTGAGGCCGTAAATTTTTGAGTTTAAGGGGTTAATGACTTTTGCGAAGGGAGGGTAGACATTATAGGATGAGAAAAAATTATCGCAAGTTCCCACAGAAATAGATCGGATGTTGACTCTTACACATCAACAAGATAGGAAGGAAGAAAGGCAAGTCTGTGTGCGTCTGCTAATTAGTCATCGTAACGACGAACGACCAGTTCGCTCAGGGCCTACGACGATCTAATAAAAACAATCGTCACGGGACGTTCAGGGTGATCGTCCCAGGAAGTTGTGAGTACAAGTTTCTCCCATCCCGGTCCTGCCTGAGGAGAAGCAGGTAGAAGACATAAGAATGTTCCTGTTTCCATAGACCAGAGTAATCATCGCATACCATCATTTGACAGCATATTAAGGTATATCTGAGTGCAGTAATCTTTGTAAATTTTCTCACTCTAGAGTTTAGGCACATGACAAGGTTACTAGTTAGATCGCCGTTATAGATAGATTTATGTGTTATATGCATCTAAGCATTAAATCAGTAACTTCCTTATGTATACTCCTATAAACTAGATTTAATTATATAATAAACTGCTTCTTTATTTGTTTAACCAGTGAACTTGTCTATCATTGCTTGCACGGACACCAGTCGACTTTCTCATCCCCCTCGCCACTCGATAGAATGCCATCCAGTGACTCTGTGAGCGGATCTCCCCGATCTGACGAGAGGGCTCTGTTCCCTCGCCCGTATTCTCACAAATTGCAATACATTAATATTATGATGGATTTTTCAACGCTGGATAATTTCAAGTTATCGGAAATTTTTCAAATACACAAACTAGCAGAATTCATGCGGTAATTCATAAAATTTCCAACACACAGAGAAGAATAAGCGATTACATTTATTTACTGTTGGGATGTAGTTGATTTTTATCAAAGTTATCTTTTTCCAATTAAATTTTAGTATTAACGCAGCAAGCAATCACAACGTTAGGTGTAATTTTAACAAATAATTAAAAAGCAGTTCACCGTATCTATCCTACTATGTAAAAATTGTACTTCTGTCCAAATGATGTCTTTATACTGGTTTCTAATTATCTTAATATTGCGATCAACTTCCGATAAATCACTATGTGTAACCGGTAAAATAATTTACGAAGATGTGAGCTTACACCAGTTGAAGCAGTTTAACAAATTATGCAAAACTAATTTAGCAACAAGCCTGAAAATTCCGGAAATTCGTTGGGACGATATTTATTAGACGTTAGTAAAGTAGCATTGAATGTTCTGAATCTAATATATAATCGAGATGATAATAATAATAATAATAATAATAAGCGCAGAGCCCAAACGGTTAGGAGTTGAAAGTTGAAATTTGGTACACAGTTAGGGTACGTTAGGAGAACGCACACTAACAAGGGATTTTTCGAAATTCCCCCCGGGGGGAGAGAGACAGGATTAAAAATTCTATATACATTATGGATACGAGCCCAAACGGTTAAGAGTTGAAAGTTGAAATTTGATACACAGTTAGGGTACGTTAGGAGAGCGCACACTAAGAAGGGATTTTTCGAAATTCCTCCCCACGGGGGAGAGGGACAAGATTAAGACACAGGATTAAGGCTTAACACTTCCATCAACAATGGAAGTTTTAAGTAACAATGGAAGTGTCAACAATGGAAATGTTACGTAACAATGGAATTGTTAAGAGAGCGACGTGCAATACGCAGATGCAGTTTTTTTCGTTTTTGCGAGAAATCGAACATATTTTTCGAACCATCTAAAAATTCTCTAATTAGTCTGGAAACAAGGGGACCCAATTCTTGCATTCTGTGAAAACGGGTAAGGTTGACTGTAAAGTAATAATCTTTATCTTAGTTATCGTTACTATTGCCCGAGCAACGCCGGGCCCACCTGCTACTTAACTATAATAATATTAAACAATTTCAACAACGAATTTCTTCTGATTAGTAATTTCGAAACCACATCGTTATTTGTTCTGTTTTTCAGCACTATGTAGTGCAACCACGGAAACACTTGGCATTTTTATTTTAACTTTTATTGAGTTCAGATTTCAAAATTACAGTACTAATCACGTTTACAAAACAGAAACAGAAAATTTCATCAAATCAAGATGCACATGATTCAGCATGTCAAATGAACTGAATAAAAATTAAGATAAAAAATGCTAAGTGGTTCTGTGGTTGCACTACATAGTGTTGAAAAACAGAATTTCTTCTTTTTTCGAAAACATTTATTATATTTCTCTTTATTTACAAAAATTATTCAGTAAGAAGGCGATAGATTTTGGTGGTAACTAAACTGCTGAAATGCTCTCCCATGAAAGGTTTTATTTTTGTTTATAACACCACATTCTTATTTTTTAAGTACCATATTTGTTAACAAACCACCAACGATTTCGTAATTAGAGCTCGGAAATAGGTGCCAGGTACAAATAATGTGCAAAAGAGACTTGTGATGACAGCTGAAATAAATAAATTTTCGAAAATTCATTTATTATTTTAGTTCCTCATTAAGTTACTCATTATTTGTCACTTTGCTTGCAAACGTGTCACACACGAAAGTCTTCGTATATCGTGAAAGACTAATACAAATTATTTATATATGTTGAAATCCTGTTGCATGTATTGATATATACAGAATTTCTATCAAACAACTCAAAACAACAAGAATACAATCGTGGTTTCTTTTTGCAACTCACAACGTCATAACGTCACTTGAAAACCAACGGTCCAAAGATCCTCATTTCAAAGCACAAGAGGTATAAATTGCTCATCTGCAAAAACATAACTAACAATAGTGCTATTGTCATCATTCTAGCAATAACCTAAAGGAAGTTATGCAGGTTATGCTCAAATTCGATTTAATATGATTCAATAAGCTCTCATTATATTCGTATATTACAAAATATATTCACGTGCAGTCATAAACATTTGATTTTCTAAGGAAATCCACAGTGTGACGAAAAAAACTTTCTCCAATTCATCAAATACGTTCTTCTTCAATTAAATAGAAAAAAATTAAAATTGAGTTATCCCATCATCCGTAGGGCAAGTGCTAACTTCATCGCCACGTTTGCAATATTAACAAATTATCGATGATTACGTAAACTGACAAATGTAATTTCTACAGACCATGGTAATGAAAGTGCATATTGTCGGCCTTAACTTGAGTTTATGTATGCAAACAAAACTCAAAATGTAAATAAACAAACATGTATCGTTTTCATTAATGCATCAATCAATGAAAACGGTTAAATATGGAAGATTTGATCGTGGATCGTTTGATCGTTGTTTGTCATTCAGTATTTTAAGTAGCAAGAATCCCAAGATTCTTAAAAGCAATTGTAACAAAGTATATATTATCGATAAACATACCAGTGCCCACTAGCAAGCAAATGGTACCGATAAACGTTCTATGTATGTTTATCGGTACAATTTGCTTACTAGTATGTTGTATAGTAGCAATCATACATGAGTGCTAGTGGCCACCCATGAATGATTGATGTCTTCGAGTTGCAGGTGGTTAGTTAAGCAACCCAACAATGTGTTTCACGATGCATATCATTTCCTTCTGAAGCCAAGGTCCTATGTGCTAATACTTAAAGAGCGCGATTCGACATTGTTCCTTCCCTGCAGAAATTATAAAAACAAACTTTCTCAGGTATCAACTTATGTGATTAGATAAATCTCCGTTATCATTTGTACTAGGCTAATGAAAAAATGCAAATGTAATGGCAACCATATGACTTCCTGACCCATCCTAACAAGTTGTTCTTTTCAAAGCAATGATGGCTCTGTGATAGTATGGGAAGCGTTGTCATAAACCTTATTTGGACTATTTATGAATCTGAAGAAGTCCTTAAATACTGGGTTATTGGAATGTGATGACTGATTACTTGCATACTTTGATGCATCCTGAAAATAATCGTGCTTTTCAGCAGGAAAAAGGGTCGCCCCATCACGTTGTTGTTACCTATACATTGCTCGAGAAATGTTATACAAAATTTTCAATTATTTATTGGCCTCCATGTGTCCAGATATAAGGTCAATTAAATTGGTCTCTTGGATAACGTTCAGTTGAATATTCGGTATGAAAAACCTGATACGATGTCTACGGAGGACTAAATAAAAATGCCGCAACAGACGTGGCTTGCAATATTTTTACCAATACTATAGCGAATGCTGTCAACGTTTCACAATATTCATTCTGTCGATTGTGTCAGAATAGCTCCCGCATCCTATTATTAGAAGTTTCGAATTGTTTGACCAGTCAGCGAAAAATTTTCAACTATGTAACCTTTCATTTGTATTTTAAAAAAACTAGAAAAAAGATTCTGCAGACAGACATTAAATGTTAAAAAAATAATATTTTTAGGGTTTTAATTGAAGTAGCATACATGAAACATAATAATCATTATTTACCAATTACTCAAAACACTGAAAATTATTTAGTTACATAAATAGTTTGTATCGTTTGATATATATGTGCACAGATATTTGTTTCCTATATCATTGGAGTTTTTTTTAAAACTTTCTGCCCCATGGGATGTAAGTGGACGTTTTTATGAAGTCTATTTTGGGTTAAGCTAGGGCCATAATAAATAAACTGGATGACGAAAAAGAGAGACAGATCATCTTGTAAAAAATTTCTTAAATTTCTCAACACATCCTAATTCGATCCAGGTTCCTCAGGTTGACATTTTAACTGCTCGGATATCAGCTATCATTAAATTGTAAACTTTATTTCATTTAAAAAACAAATGTTTATATAATAAAGGAACGAAAAATGTCTTTCATAGTAAACACATACATACATAGTATCGAGTATAAACTATTTGGTCCGAATTCATTATTACTTACTTGAGGAATAATAGATATTTTACTACGTAGATCACGAAGACCGATTTCCTTAGTGTCAACTCCATCGATGGTTATTGTTCCCGTTGGCTCCGTCATGCGAAATAACGAAGCAATTAATGAACTCTTTCCTGCTCCTGTTCTCCCAACAATTCCTATCTGCAATTAATAAATAATAGAAACCATTTAACACAATAATTAAAAGCAAGAATCATTGGATTGAAAATGTTTTACCTTTTCTCCCGAGCGAACACGAAATGTTATGTTTTTTAAAACAATATTTTTATCCTTGGAGTATTGTAAAGAAACATTATCGAAATGAATTTCTCCTCTTTGTGGCCAGTCTGAGGGTGGTCGTTTATTAGGCAAACTTTCGTACGAGGCTTCCGATTTTAACTTGCTATAGTTCAGTATGCGTTTAACAGAGTTCATCTGAAAAATTAAATTTTTATGAAATAACACAAGTATAGTATAAAGTATCAATATTTTTTTATCCAGAGTTATATATAAAGTACATATTTATTAAATTAACGACCGAAATGTTTTTATAGGAGCAGGTGCAGTAAAAGTGGTTCATGTTTAGTTCTTTTTACGTATGAAATTACCTTTAATTCCCGTTAAACAAGTCTAATTTACTAAATGGTAACTTATACTGAAATTTGAATATTTTTCATTAAAATACGCTTAAATTATTGTAAAAATTTATAAATTTTCAGGAGTGGAAATATTTTTTAGTTCTTATTTATTTTTTCTGTAAGCTGTAAACATTTCCTCATAAACTGGAAAATCTCTGATTGTTTGTCAAATACCAATTGATGCCAAAGTTTTGTTAAAAAAATTAAATTTCCTATCAAATTATCAAAAAACATCTAAAACAATTTCAAATTTTTTTTCATATTTTTAAACACCGGACAGTAAATTTTTGTAATTAGAGAGACATAATTTTATGGATTAAAAATGGTGAAAATGTTCATCTAGCATAACATATATTAAAATCTTTAGTTATTCAAATTCTTGGTATTTTATGTAATAAATTTAATCACAATAAATTAATAAAAATTAATCTTATATAACAATATACTTTCACTTCATAAATATCATCCTAATGCAAACACAAACATCGTATTTTAAATAATATTACATAATTAGCATAATTGTCACAATTTTAGATATTTTTTTCTAAAAGGAGTTATTTCCTGTATAATTAAAATAGTTGAAGTGAAATTAATTAAGGGGTGATTTGAAAAAATTGTTTTTCGGATTTTCTCAATGCTTCAGTTAACACCGAATGGGGTAATTCAGAGTGTCGTAATGAGTGATATTTTTCAAAGCAAGTAATTCTATGTAACTGAACAGATGGTATTGTTTAGGCATGATCTGCTCTGGAAATTTTTTTCAAATTTATTTTCGGTTACAATTATCTTGCACAGTGTGAGAACCGAAACCATCATTATTCAAGGCCTGCTTGTAACCCTGTTAAAGAATTGTGATGTCAAACTACTGGTCATTCATTGTTTACTGGACAACGTGGTGTTGGATATATCAAAACTCGTTCTAGTTCATTTTATAAGTTTATCAAATTGGTTATTATTTAGATATTTATATACATATAGTTTATCAAAGGTAAGACAATTTCTTGATTATTAATTATATAAAAATAAGAAAATTAAGGGTATTTTTAGTACATAACTAATTATTATGTAGACCATTTTTCGATATTTTCAAATTACGTCTAATTCGTAAATGCACATTAAAAGGAAAGACATTTTAGTTACAAATCATATTTTTTTGTGAATAAAGTCAGTTTGACATATATATTGGATATTATAAATAATGGTAAGATTTTCTTGTTAGCAATAAGACTTCGGCAATTGGTACAATTACTGATTTACACCAAGTTATCTAAGTTGTCCTATTCATTAAAATATTAATAATTTCTTATAATATAATTCTAAGTGTAATGAATAAACTAGTTTAATTAGGATAAAATTAGATATAACAAAAGTTAATAACATGTTATATACTTGTATATGTGCTATAGTAGATATGCGTAAGAATATGTTACTAATTATTTTACATTATAACTAAAAAGAATTTAAATATATGTATTTACTTAATAGATGCCTCAAAGATGCTGTGTGATAGGCTGTAAAAGCAATTATTCATCTACAGCGCACACAACAGTTTTCTCTTTTCCCAAAAGTCAAGAAATGATTAGTAAGTGCATTAAAGCTATACCTCGTAATGACTTCTCTCCTTCTAAAAACAGTGTTGTGTGTATTAAACATTTTGATGACAAATTTATCATCAATGAAGATAAAGTAAAAAGAGATGATGGATCATGGTTAATAGTTCCTAGATTAAGACCAAAAATCACTGAAGAAGCTTATATTTCCAAATTGTCCAGCTTACCTTTCACATAAGCCTCCAGCCAAATAAAAAATCTGGTGATGACAGAAGAAAAGAATTATTTGAACGTGACAATCAACAGTTTCGTGAATTGTGCCAAAAAGATATCATTAAATCATTTGCAGATTTGAAAGATGGTATTTCCAATCATGTTGCAAATTCTTGGTTGTATATATTTAATACAAAATATGTTTTATTATATAAAATTACAATGTCAGATATTCCACAAGTAACCCATGATATTAAATTGTTTCAAAATTTTGATATATGCATATATTTTAATGGAACGCAATTGGATAACAAAAACTTTAAATGGCTTAGGATCAGAAAAAAAAATGTGATCGATGGACTAAATTTGAGGCATTATTGAGTCATTAACAAGGATATAACGAATCAGAAGTAAAAATAAAAGATAAACTGCATCAAGCTGCACAAATAATCTTAGAATGTTTAAGCACTGAGGGTGAGGATTCTTTTAAATTTTAAATACAAAATTATCATTTCTCTGTGAACATATAAATTTATTTAGTTCGAAACAACCAAGATACAGTTCTGAAACTTTAATATGGGCTTCCATGTTATTTTTTCATTCTCCTACTGCATATAGACTCGTTAGAAATAGTAATGTTTTAACATTACCACATATATCCTATTTGAGAAGTTTTATTAGTAGCATTATTAATAGTATTGATCCAAATACAGAACATATTACATATCTTAAAGAAAAACTTCAATGCTTTAACTCAAAAGATAAAATAGTTATACTACAATTAGATGAAATACATGTAAAACCCATGTCATTATACAAAGGTGGTAGAATTTATGGATTAGCAGTAAATGAAAAAATGTCAGAAGCTAAATGTATTTTGGTATTTCTAGTGGCATCATTATTTTCTAAAGATAAAGGTTATTATTGCATTATATCCAGTTTGCAGTTTTAAAGCTGGACAGTTGTTGAAATTAACAAAACAAGTGTTGAAAGTTGTGAGCATTGGTAATCAAGTTGTTTACATGATTGCCGATAACAACAGAATAAATCGTAAAATGTTTACTTTTTTTGTGGTGATGAATTAAAGTATCTGTGAAGAATCCATTCTCAGAAGAATTGATTTTACTACTATTTGATTCTGTGCACTTATTAAAATCAATTCGAAATAATTGGCTGAATCAACACCATTCTAACCAGACATTTTTTCTCCTGACACACAAAAGGAAACAAAATGTGTTGCTACTTTGTTTTATCTAAATGAGATATTAAGAGCAGAAGAAGGCAAAATTGTGAAGTTTGCACCATCTTTGTTTTTAAAGGTATTATATCCTTTATCATTGGAAAGGCAAAATGTTTCATATGCGGTAAAACTTTTCGATAAAAAAGTAGCTGCAGCTCTGCAGAAATTTGCACAAAATGTAGATTACACCCAGACAAAAAATTTGATTAAAAGAATGTAATGAATGTAAAACATCCAGAAAGAGGGAAACGATTAAGATATATTTACTGCAGACCAATATATACTAAAAATGATGAGCAAATTAAATTTCTGAATTGTTTTATAGAATTTTTGAATGCGTGAAAGAAATTTAACTTGAAAGAACAGCATGGAAGATTGTCGGATGAAACACATTTCGTTTTAAAACATACAACTTATGCTATGATTCATCTTATTGAATATTTCTTTGAAAAATTATCATTGAAGTTTATACTTTTAAGATAGTTCCAAACAGATAAACTTGCAGCTAGATTTGGACAATACAGTAGAACCTCGAAAACTCGACCTAATGTGGACCGAAGGGTGGCCGAGTTTGTGAAAATGCCGAGTTATCGGGAATGGGGTTAAAAAAAAAATATGAGTGTTTCCTCAGAAAATACTGTACTATACTTGTATGTATTGTTTGCTTCAGAATACAACAAATAAACTGCCCAAATACCCTTAAACAAAGGAAAAGTACGTCCTTTATGAAGGCATAGAGCCACTACATGAAAATGAAAATTAATGAATACACTGTGTACAGTAATTTACCTGATAAGACAGACCTCAGAAAAATACTTTATGAGAGCTTTTATACTTTTATAAAGCTGTCTATAATGAAAATTAATTAACTAAGGATTTTTTCGCCCTGCCAAGGTGTGGACCAGTTATCCGGAGTGCTAAGTTATCGAGGGACGAGTTTTCGAGGTTCTACTGTATCGCCAAATGTGTGGAGGTAATTATCATGTTAATCTTGTGCAGGTTTTTAGAGTGTAAAAAAATTAAAAATTTTAAGTTTACTGAAATTGAAATCTGAGAGAATAGGGAATTTCCATATTAAAGATTTGATGTCAGCTCAAGTAGAAAATTGTATGCAAGATCCCTTTAAATCACAGATGGATATTTGTTTTGATGATGTTGCAATTGAAGGTCAAATGATAACAGTTCCTTTGTCTACCGTTAAAATTTTAGTTTTTATTGCTGGTTATGCTGTTCATAAATTATTACAGAAGATTTCATGTAAAAAGTGTAAATCAGTAATAACCTGTTTAGATAAAAAAAAATTAGAATTTGATATTTTACACTCTGAACTTATAAGTTATATTAAAAAAATTGATAGAGGAGGTCTTTCATATCCATCTGATTTATTTTTCACTTTAACTGTTGAATTATATAAGCTTTTTCAAAGTTTATTATAAGCTAAGTATGAAGATCAATTTCTACAGTACAAAAAAACAAAAAGAATTATTTATGAAACTTTCGTTTGAAAAAATTGAACTAATTGATTTAGTATCTGTCAGTGTTCCATGTATCTGTGGAACAATGCCATATTTTCTTTTGAAAAATTTTTTAAATATAACTTCAAATATTTTTTAAAATAATTATTGTCATGCANAGTACATAACTAATTATTATGTAGACCATTTTTCGATATTTTCAAATTACGTCTAATTCGTAAATGCACATTAAAAGGAAAGACATTTTAGTTACAAATCATATTTTTTTGTGAATAAAGTCAGTTTGACATATATATTGGATATTATAAATAATGGTAAG